TGACAAGAAATAATGTCATTTTGTATACATTTTGTATACATTTCAATCAAATCATTTTGCTAATAAACTTGACAAGAAGTGTCATTTTAGTAGTAGCTATTGCAATGTTGTTTTTATGTATTGGAATCAATCTGTGTAATAGTATGTGGAGAAGACCTTGGGAGACTGAGCAAAGAGATGCTGCCAAGGGAACAGTCAGATAAAAGCATAGTTGTCAACTAGGTAGTGGGGGGAGGGGGGGCAAGAGCCTCAGAAGAGAGCCTCCCTATTTTCTCTAGCTGTAAAAGGAGAGGGGGAGTGCGGGAAGAATTGTACTTTCAGACTTGCAATATTGATGTCAGCCTCATGGGGCAAGCCAGATAAGAATCACAATCAGACGAGCTAATTATACTTTATTGTAAAGCTACATTGACAGAATCTTACAAAGTCTGAAAGTACAATTCTTGTAAGAATTAAGGCAGGACACATACACTAAGTTCAGTTCACCACCAACATAGCTGCTGGTTTGACATGTAACGTAGAAAAGCATGTTATATGTTTGGAATTTGGCAAAGAGAGCAAAATATAATTGTGTCCCATGGGTAATTATGGAAATGCTTAGGAAGCAAAGGGAATATAAATTTCTAAAGCACAAGACATGATATTAAACAACTCTTTGGCACTTTTCTCACTGCCATAGACTTTTTTTAAAAAAAAAACCATTACATTTCTGAAAACAATAAAATCTAGCAAGAATTAATATTTAGAATAAATGAAAAAAGAACAGTTAAAATGCAGAGATCAAAGAAAGATGATAATGAAGTGAGTTCCCATTTTATTTGCAACCATTGCCAGTAGAAATATAATTAACCTCTTACTCAATGGTTACAACATTGTTTACATTTTTTCTATATCATTCTAAGCATCAAAACCATATATCATAATTTCATGTTTATTCTATTTCTAAAGATACAACAGTGTTCTGGAAGTTGGTAAATGGGTCAAGATAAGAACATCTTGGATGTTAGAGTGTCCAAAGAGGAATTGGAGAACTATTGTTGTAGATTGATTGCTCTTCATCCCACTCTAGTTAATTCTCCAATTAATCTAAAACTTGTGTGACACTATGCTCTAGGCCTTTATCTCTTTAAAAGAAATTGAGCCCCTGAACAACACTATATTCTGGATTTATTAAAAGCTAATATAATCTTGTAGAAATGTATTTTGGCTAAACTCTTTAATAATATTACTTTCTATGTCCAACTTGCCCAGGATTAGAATACCAGCATAGTGGTATTCAAGAAAGGTGATTATAGCCACCAGCAAACTATAGATTGATTAGTCCGATTTCATATTAAGCTAAAATTTATGTAAAACATCTGACAAATTAAAGTATTGGGTCATCAATAACAGCTTGCAGAGGAATTGGCTGGGCTTGGAACAGGAATTCCAACAATTGATCATGGTTTATTGGATTATGTGATAAGTGTGTAAAATAGGTCTGCGGGAAACTGTTGCCTTTGTGTATTTTGATGGACCTTTTGATTATATTGATAGCTAACTATTGATTAAGCTAGATCAATTGAATTTGGATAAAAGGTTATTAATTTTGATCATGGCTTTATATAGTAATACTCAAATTTAGGTTAGGTTCACCCTGGTTGGGCACCTGACAGATATCAAGACTTTGAAAGGGGTAAAACGAGGACATGTGTTTGCACATTTACTTTATTAATCTTGAACTTATAGTTACAGTTCAAGTTTGAAATGCTTATTCTTGGGATAGTCTCCCTCTTAAAACACCAGTTTTTATAGTTTTCTTCAAACTTTTAGATACAATCACTGTGCTCTTCCAAAAAGTGTGAAAGATGGTTTGTCTTCTCAAAAGAGATATTCCTATCCTGCAAAATTTTTCATTATTTGAAAAATATTTTTATTGGTCATAAATTTTCATAAACCAGAATGCTTTTTCTTCTTAGTTTCCCAATTTGCTATTATTAAAGGTTTATATGAAAATAACAGAGGCAACGTCTAGTGGGCTAGGATTAAATATGAAGGTTTAGTCTGGACTTTATAATGTTCTTAAATCATTGAAAGGATTTTAGGAAGCATTATTTTCAAATAATAGCTCTTATGCATGATCTAGGCTTTAATAAAACCTTTATGATCCCTCTCATTACAATGTTCAATAGGTGGTGCTATTGTCACTCTGCTTATATGTAGTCCTGTTGCTGAAAACCTCATGAAATACCAATTTCTATATTTAAAAAAACACCCATACATTAATATATTTAGTTTATCTTATCTGCCAATACTTGTATTGATATCTCCAATTTTACTCTTAAAGAAGTTATACAGTGATTTAACCTGAGATAATGTGTGATTCAAGTTCATTCAGTGAACTTTCGCAGATCTAGTCACAGCTACATTGGCCTTAATGATGAAACATTTTTTTCTGGTTTGTGTTGTCTTACACATAAGTGTGTTTTCTAGTGTGTGTTGTCCTACACATAAGCAAAAACTTTAATCAGAAGTGAAATTATCAATTAACTCTAAAACAAATTGTCCTGCTTTGTTTCAGTTGTTTTATATCCTATTTAGCATCTCATAATTCAAACTGAGTTGGGTAGATAATATAAGTTCTGGTATAAGAGCCAATTTGGTGTAGTGATTAAAGCAACAGGCTAGAAACCAGGCGACGGTTCTAATGCTGCCTTAGGCCCAAAGTCAGCTGGGTGACCTTAGGCGAACCACTCTTTCACCCTAGGAAGCAGGCAACGGCAAACCATTTCTGACATCTTTCCAAGAAAATTGCAAGCACTACTCCAGGAGGTTTCCAGGTGTGATTGCTGACTCAAAGATGCAAAAAATAAATTCTACTACCCAGAGAATCTTGTCTCCTTATTGCTTATCAACCTGTGTAGTATCTGAAACATTGCTATACTCTTCTCTTCCCTTTGCTTTTACTCAGTACAATTAGTTGTTAGTTAGAACTCATATTTTTGCATGCTTTTCCTGTGTGCAAGGGCCTGATTTTCTGCTATGTGTTTTACATTTACAGAAGTAATCATGTCATTCAAATGAATAACTTTTGTCATGATTATCTATGCGCATGTAGTGCCATGCTTACTCAGCATTGTGAGTTGGCAAAAATGAAGCCTGCTGCTATTTCATCCTAATATTTATGATGAGTAAGTGTTTTTCCAGGTTTTTTTCACCCCTCATTAGACAAGGTTTTTCATGGGGGATTTTTAAAATTCCTGTTCACCTTTCCAATACTGTAGTCTTTATATGGAATTTCCTGTTTTTAAAAAACTGGATAAATCTAAATATGCTTAACTATTGGTATGCCTCTGATCCTCAAACCATATGAGACAATCCAGAATAATAAATTATCCACATAGTTGGATATGAGCAAAATAAGCAAGCTAAGACAAATAATTGGTGCCCAGTTTGTAACAATATTAAAAAAGCATAAAGAGGCAATGTTATATTTTATTTTATTGCCAAAATCCCAGAAAAGAAGAAAAAGAACTCTGTGCCTACTGCTTAAAGTTTGTTAAAAATCTTGAAATGCAAAGTGTAAAATGAAACACAGGTAAACATATAGTGCTTCATTAGAAATCAACGCGATCCTTGAAGCTTGCAACAAATATGACCTACTTTTGAATTTCCATTATCTTTAGGCTTGACTTTGCCACAGAGGACCAAATATATCTTGTTTTTAATCTAGCATGACGGTATTTTCCAAGAGCTGCTGTGCTAATAATCAACTGGAGTGCCATTTCAACAGATCTTTAATCTAGAAGCATACTTTTTTTTTTCTGGACAATCTGAAGTTGGTCCTTTAGGTCTTCCAATGATGCACCTATCATCTCTAAATGAGTCAATTCACCTTACTGAATATTCCTAGGTTGTAAATTATTAGCATATGAATATTTTATTTCTTTTAATTAGGGTACAAAATAAAAGCTATACGTCAAATCATTGTTAATTATTAGATAGGTACTCCCTAGTGTTTTCAAAACTCTAGTTTTAAATCTAAAGTTAAATTTAAAAGCTGACTCCATAAAGTCAATTTGAATATAAGCTGCTGTTCTCACGGAATTAAAAACTACAGCTAGAATGTAAGGTTAGGTGGAGGATAAGAGTTAAAAGAATGAAATGTACTGTTGTTCTGTTCCTGCAGCTTTTGGAGTTTCAACACAGTATAGGGCAGGCATGTCAAACTCGTGATGTCGCGCAATGTATCAGGCTGGTTTTACCATTGCCGGCAATGGGGTAGGCGAGGCTTCCATATGACGCGTCCGGCCCATGGGCCGGCAGTTTGACACCTCTGGTATAGGAAACAAAGTAGAAAACATTTTCTACCAGAAATGCAGACTTCATTTTCATTGTGTAACTATTGTAGTGGGGAAAGACAAGACTGCAAGCTTATTTACAATATTCAGAAACTGTTATATCATACTTACATTGGGAGTTAGAGTAATTTCATACTGATTTAGAAGTATGCCACACTGAAGTTCATACAACTTGTGAAGAAGCAGGCACATGTTTGTACAATGTATAATCTTGATAAAAGATCAAGAGCTTTTTTGTAATGTTCTTAATACTAGGATTAAGTTACCCAAAACACCGAGTGGCATTAAATGAGGGCATGTATTACGGATAAATACATTTCATATAAAGTGTTTTGAGTATTATAGAATTCATTGCTAGAAGATGATTTTATCATTTTATCAAGATTTATCAACTGTAACAACTAAATGGTGCTTCTACCTACAAAATGCCATTGAATGCTGCTTAATGCTTTCAGGTAAAATCTGCAAATTTCTTGGAACAATATAATTGTCTATATTAGAAGCAAGATACCAAACTAGATGGATATTTTGGTCAAATTTGGCAAAGTTATGATTGTGATGTATCTTATCTTGGAGGACAATAGATGATTTAATCAAATAGATGACATCAGTTAAAAAAAATCTGCAGCAAGAGTTGAATATTTTGTGGCACGTAATCGATTTAATCCAGAATGGATACATCAGGTACAGCAGTGGCACAAGACACAGTACTGTAAATGATATACAAGTTTCAACATAAGCACTACAGTTCCAAAAAAAGACAACAAGAAACTAAGGATCCTTTAGAAAGTTTCATCAAATGAATCTATCTGCACTTTTGTACAGTACATTTGTCTTGGGTATGATGTTTTGTAGTAAGCAATGCCCATTTAGAGTATGAAAATAGAAAATAATACAATTGAGACAAAATTCTGGTAACAACGTAAAACCTCTAATGCAAATATAATTGCATTGTAATGTCTCACTGGTTTATCAAAAATATACCATCGCACATATTCTGCAGTGTATTTTATTGGTCTACGGAACTGCTGGAACTCCAGCTATGGTTGCAACAGTAATTTAGGAAAAGATATTATACAGAGTATAATCTTTCACTTGCATTTCTATATAATGTAATGTGATTAGCACTTGTCTTTAAAGAAAGAAAAAACAATGTGCACATACATGCATATGATCAAACTGAGAAATTATTGACTGCAAGCTAGACCACTGAAGGATTGGATATTTGGCCCCAAAACAGATTATTAAAAGAATTGCTTGCCAAATTAGCATTAAATCTAACTCTGTGCTTCTTGAACTTTACATTTCACAATGTAAACACAATGGATATTTCAGTTTCATTGTCAATTCTCTGGACATGAAGATGAAGTTATTCCCTTTTTGATTTAGCAGTGTTCATTTCTGAAATTGGAGGGACTGTTTAAACATTTGACACCTCGTGGACTTTAATGTAGCTTTATGGAAACACTCTGGCACCTTGATAGTATTCATTCATATCATTGCATTGAAATATTCCTGAGGATCAAGCGCAGACCTCTAGTCCTCATTTGAGCAAATGTCAGATTTAAGGGTTAACGTTACTGAGCATATTGGCTTCAATCAGCAATCATGTCTGTATGATGGGATCTCATACATTTCACTTGTAAATGCTGAGTTTTCATTATTTTTAAAGTAATTGCTGAACTAGACTAGCAGTGATTCAGAAAAAAAAATGAAATTAGACGCTAGAAGTAACTTGTAATGGGCTGCATGGATAGGATTCAACATTTCCAATCCATACAATTGTATACAACGTGACCCTAATCACATTTAATCTAAAAGAAGCTCATAGTGTTCAATGAGTTTTAGATATATAGAGGATTATAGTCTTAATTAATTAGCCAGTATAGAAGTTTCTCAGTTTTGACGTGGCATTTATATATGGTTATTGCTATTGAAAACGTTACAGAATAATGGTTCTATTTGCTATGCCTGACTTGTTTTTGAGATGGACGTGAATAGTAATTTAATTATGAACTAATTCAAAAAGAGTCTATTCAGGAGAAGCAAACCAAACACCATTTGAACACATATAAAAACATAGTAAAAAAAACAACCTGCAGAAAAAGTTCATACCACGTAAGAACTATTAATCAGAATGTTAAAGTGTTTCTTTTTTATTGCTTTTTGCAACTCTTTTGAGGGTATGTGTGCAATTATAACAGTTATTTCCCTTAAATTCAGTATCATTATGTTCCAAATAGACATTTATATAATTGGTGTATAATTGGAAAGAGAAAAATGGAATTTGGTTGGAAGAATTGAAACACACGATAGAATGATATTCTTTAATGAAAAGCCAAGTCTGCTTTACTATCTTAGATCAATTTTGAATTGGTTACAAGAAGGAAAAATTGTCAGTGACAGTAACTTGAACCAAATAAAGAATTAGGCTTAGAGCCTTTGGTCAGATTAACATTTTGTCTATGTATCTACTTCTCAATTGGCGAGAAAATAGCTGCAAAAATAATTAAAATTATATCTTATTTCCTGAAAACATGGTGCATTTCACATTTCCCAAATTGTAGTGTACCTGGGGCAATAATTTTCATGGGAGAAAAAGCTTAGATTCATTAATATCTATTTATCCGTATGCACTTAATGATTTAATAGGAGATTTGCACTTACAAGTATTTGCAGTATATCCTTTACTTCTCGTCATCAGTCCTTACGGATTTATATAAATGAGATAATCTCCTTCTAAAAAGAAAGGAATGTTATCAACATGCGAAAGGAAATTCCCATGTATATTTGTCTCAATAGAACTGAAGGAAATTTTATATTATGCTCATTGACACCAGCAAAATTATGTTGGTATGCGGAAACTATAGATAGTCTTTTATGACCACTTATTTAATGACAGTTTGGAGTTATGATGGCACTGAAAGAAAGTAACTCATGACATCCTTGAAATTACAACTTTTGCACCATCCCCACAATCATGATTTGGGCACTTGGCATCTGGCTTGCATTTATAGCTGATTGCAGCATCCTGCAGTCACATGATTGCGATTTATAACTTTCCTAACCGGCTTCTAACCAACAAAGTCAATGGGGGAAGCCAGATTTGCTTAACGATCATGTTATTCACTTAAAAACTGGGAAAAAAGGTTGCACAAATAGGTCCAGTCACCTGATGACTTGCTTAACTACCACAATGCTTAAGGACCAAAATTCCAGTCCAAACTGTGGTTGTAAGTCAAGCATACCTTGTGGATGTATGGCAGTAAAGCAAGATACCATATATTCTAAGTCATGACATGTAAAATCTCTATCTAGAATTTCATAGACAAAAATCAAATATAGTTATATTTCTGTAATTTTTAAATTAGTTTCAAAAGCAATGGTTTTGGGGGGTAGAGCATGACAAATCATAAATTATGTTAAATAAAATGAGTGTTTTAGAAACTTGATATATTAAGAAAAAAATGAAATTTTCATTCCCAGATCGGGATGGGCAATATATATGGACAATTAATTGGGTGAAATGATGGAAAATAAGAAACCACGTGCACTATGATTAGATATGTAGTCTGTTCTTAAGATAGCCAGTCCAATAATCTCCCATTCCAGGCAATTCATTCTTCTGCGTATGCAGACACCATATGACCGAGATTTTTGGGACAGCTGGTGACAGTCATGTTTTATGTCATTTCAACTTCCCAAGTAGACTCAAGTATACCACTTCCCTCCCCAATTATTTTCTTTTAAATTTCCTTGCTCTTATTGCTTTGAAAAAGGATTGGCATAACCATGCAGCGTTTGGAATGCATAATTATGATAATGCCCAAACATATTCCTTCCAATTTTTCTCTGTCCATGTAGTTGTAGGTAAGGAGTATGTGAACAATAAAATGAAGACCAAGATGAAGTGGCCTCTAGGGTCAGTTTTTGTGGGTCTTCTTCTAGAAATTAGTCTTGATCATGAATATAGGAAAGGGCAGTTTCGGTAAGTATAATGAATGGCATGGATGTTAGTCTGGCCTGTTTGGGGCTAAATCAAATCCTCATTGGCTTAATTGCCTTGGTACTTTTAAGTTAGCGTGACATGCTCATTGTGATTCAGTCACATGAAAGAGCCATCAGATATCAGGGAATCAAAAGTTTTCTCTAGTCACCAAGTTTTAGAAAAAATATTGTCTTATCTGATAAAGGGATCTGGTATTCCCGAATACAATAGTGGCCAACTCTTTTTTTTTTCACAAAAAGAAACTGGCATTTATGAAAATGCAATAGAATTTAAAATTCTATTGAAATAAGTGTTCTCACTGTGGATCTGGTTCAGTTTCCTGAATTTTCTAAACATTCTGAACTTTTCAAAGCAGGATCACATACTTAGAACTTTAGGATTTTGAAACAAAGAGCTTGCCCAGGTGGACAAAATGCTAATTTGGCAATTAGACTAGATACCACTATATTCTGATACAATGAAAACTTTTTGAAATAAAATCACCATTTGAGTACTCTGTTTTAAATAGTTGCATGTGGGAAATTTCATCAAAAATATTTCCAATGCTAGTAGACAAAGATATATGTGAGTTCCGTTCTAGGCATTGGCTAGGCTTGCAACTGCTTAGCTTCAGCATTAAAATATGTTCTAGATGTATGAAAGTATCAGGGCTTCTATTTTCTTTGCACACAATCATCTTTGTTAGAATTCAGTACCAGTTTACTAAATTATCTATATAGCATTAGCGCTAACACTTATATACCACTCGACTGTGCTTTGCAGCACCCTGACACTTTACAAATGTGAGCATATTGTCCCCAACAATCTGGATCTTCGTTTTACCAACCTTGGAAGGATGAAAGGCTGAATCAATCTTGAGCAAATCAGGGTCAAACTCCTGGCAGTGAGCACAGTTAGCCTACAATATTGCATTCTAATCTCTGCGCCACCATGGCTCCTGGTATGATATGTAGTACGATACATATCAGTACCAATGTTTGCTGGGTAGACATGTAAACTATCCTTTGGCTTGCGTTAATAGGATTGTTAAACAAGCCATGGTGGCTTAATTTACTCATCACTATGACATAAACCATATTTAAAACCATGGTTTGCATATCATTGCTAGGCCAGAGGCAGGAAATATATGTCTACTGCTATACTTTGTGTAGTTTCCTGCTATACTTTTGGGGGAGGCAATTGGAATTTGGAAGGTATGTTGTAATGGAGGGGAGAGATTTAAAGGATCAAACATTTGCTATAGAAAGGTAGATTATACTCTGAGTAGACTGAAACTTAATAGAGCCAATCCCTTCTCCCACTTTTTACCTAACTTGCCATTTCGAACCAGATAAGTCTTATTTCTGCTAATGGGTGAAATGAATTGGGATATTTTTATAGCTATCCTTTGAATAGGAATAAAAATCAGCACAGTATGTTAAAGAGAATAGATTGAATATGCTTCAAATTGTCTAGGTAGGAACTGATTGTTAACGTGTAATGAAGCTAAAATGAAGCAAAGGAGAGTTTCAATAAGGCATTTCTGTAAGTTGCATGATCAATTCCTTAGATTATGTACTAGTATCAGAAGACAAAGATTAGAAGCTTAGCCTATCTGCAGGTAATTCAATCAGGATCAACATCACCAATGAAATTATGAAAACAAGGCAACAGTTTCTTACCTAGTAACCTTTTCCCTCCTCAAAGTGTATTAGATGAGTGGTAGTTACTAAGTAAGAGTTTTATATATAGATATGAAGTGGACAACTCTAAAATTCAAAAATTAGTTCATATTTTCAGAGCCTAAATCAGAAATATCTTCAGGACTGGTTAAAGCAAAAACATTGATAGGATGTATGTGACCTTGTTATTTGTTTGTTTGTTTGTTTATTTATTTATTTATTTGCATCAGATACATATCTAAAGGGGGCCATCTTAGATGAGATAGTCATAGCTGACATTTTGGGTGGCAAATTAAGGCCTCCTTCAGATTACTAGAATAATGAGTTTTTCAGTATATTGGAGAACATATAGCACGTCAAACATTTTTTTTTATTACAAGATACTAAAATTGTTTTAAGTTGCCTAGTTAAGAGTACAGTATACTTTCCAGCTGCGTTACATAACAGATTAACAAATTTTCCTGTTTAGCAAAGTGCATGGACTCAGCTATTTGTATATAAGCCAATGGACAGAGTTTAAAGTTGCCTTAGTTGAATCCTTCAACTGATAAGACCTCTTATGGTGCAATGTGCAGGAATGCCTCATTTTAACAACTAAAAATTGAAACATTTACAAAGGTGGGATTTTTTATAAGCTCTTTTTACTTTGAATCTGGTTACATCTTATTCAAAAATTTGATTCCAGGCTCAGTTTAAGATATTAAACTGTATTAACATGTGAATCTACCTTATAGTGACTTCCAATAATTGCTCATCCAATACCTTTAATTTATATGTGAAAAAAGCAACCAAAAGCAAAAGCCATACATAAGATAACTTTTTCAGCACAGTTTCCTCCCCTTCTTTTGAATAATGCTTGAATCTGCAAAGTCTGTCTTCCTTCTGCAACACAAATTCTAGCTCAAAATGTCTTGAGCTATACATTGTGAAGATATATAAAAGTGAAAGCAAGGTATCAAAAGACAGCATGTTGTGGACATCAGATATGTCAAACTTAAACACATCTAAGATGGTTAATAAATTGCACAAATTAGTAAGAAAAGAAGAGTGCAGTTCACAATGCTTGGCAGCAGTGTGTGTCTTCTTGGCATAAATGTGGCCACAAAAGTTTGCCTCCAGAGAAAGACATTAGGAGAATATCGGTATAAAGCTTTAGATGGTTATACCTCACAGTCCTAAACTTTCTAAACAGTGTAACAACAGTTAACAATTGGTGAACTATTCTGAAACAGATATTTTTAAACCGTCTATTAACAGTATTTTATAAATTGATTAGAAATGAAATTCTAATATAAAGTAGGCCCCCAAATCTAAATGCAATATTTCCTCATTGAAAAGAAATGATGCTTTATCTAGGGAAAGTAAAATATTATATTGCTGTATCCATTAAGCCAATGCAACCCAGAGAGTTTCACTAAGAGCCACAGGACTGTATTACAAAATGAGATTCAATTTCAGTCCATGTAAAACTTTTGGCTCTATAATAGGCTCTGACTATTATATACAATGGGAGACACTTCCATTACTATTAAAGAAACACATATAAAACATAAAAGAAAGCATGAGTATAGATTACATTTCAGTTATGAACATCTGCAGCAGCTGCTTCAAATGATTTTGCCCTCTGAAACTGCTTGAATAATTTTTTAAAAAAAATTAAATTTCCCCTAGGCCATTTCCTGGACTTTAAAAATACAGAACTAGTTAATCTAATCACATTCTCTACCAGTCCATGATAACCAAAATAATATTTTGAAAAGAAAAGAACTGTGGTGAACTACGAAAGCCTGTTCTTTTGTTCCACAAATATGATTTTTTTCACAGACAATAATTAGCAGACAAATACACTGTTTGCAACAATTTTTGTTGAATTAAAGGCAATTACAGAATTGTGTTAAGAAAAAGTACCATCTAAAATGAATGTTTCATTGGTGCTTGTGTGTGTGTGTGACTGCATGCAGGCATCTGTTTTGCTACTGTGCACTAAAGGCTGAAGCCTGCAAAGACACACTCATGCAGAAAGGGATGGACAGTAGGTAAAACCATTGGATTCACAAGCATTACTTAAAGCATGTTGGTGACCATGCAAACAGTAAGTCTTTGCAGGATTGAGCCCAGAAATAGGAATGTGTGCTCAGATCTTTCATAGTTGGGAAATGCCAGTTTTGTGGTTCTCTTATTTGTTCTTACACACGCATGCACACGTGCACAAAAGAATGAAAATTAAATTCCTGTGACAAGGTGAATTGTTTTTTTTTTTAAATGTTTGGGTATAAAAGAAAATAAAGAAGTCATTTTGGTAAATAAAAGATCCTGCTGCATGAAGACAGAAAAAAAAATCACAAAATCCATTTTGGTCACCTTTTCAGTCATTTCTTCATGAATAAATATTATCCATTAAAAACCTTTAAAAAGGTGCTGAGATACACAGTGTTATAATTCTACTTCTTTACTGACCTTCTTGTAGTTATGACAGGACTTATATATCACTATCCAAAAACTATTCTACGCCTCATGTCTTAGAACAAGGCTTCAACTTGTCAAAGAGAGATCCTTTGGCCACTCTGTTCTTACACCCACACACACATGCATACACCCATACATACAAACATAGCTTCCTGATTCTTCTGAGCTCGCTCTGCAGCATGAATGTGAGTTTGAAGGAAGCTGCCTCCTTCAGTTCTCATCCTCGGTTCTTAGATGTTGGTCAGGTTGGTCCATTGTCCATCCAGCCATTCACTTAGGCACAATTTGCAGCAAAGAAGGAACATGGAAGTTGGGAGAAAGGGAGAAAGACTGGCCTTCCAATCTAATGCCATCATGTTTGACTAAGTCAGTCTTACAAAGCAGAAACCTTGACAATGTTGCTGCTAGCCATGATTGTGTTCATTGAATGGCTGGGACTTGAGGAGGAAGGCCTGTTTTCACCTTCGGGTGTCAGTGCAGGTGGTGTTGGGATGCTGATGATTGCTGTGGTTATTTGAGCAGCTTTGCAGTTCGGTCTCAGACCATCATCTGATTTCATATTTAGGCTGGAGCGACTATAAGATAAAAAGACATTTTCTTTTAGTTTTAAAGGAACAGAAGGTAAGAACTTTGGATATGTTTGAAGTCTGACTTTTAGGATTCTCCCCATGTATCTATTATCACTGAGCTATGAGCAGGCAAGAACCACACTCTAACAACATCTATATGAGGTAGACCAACAAATGGATGTGGGTAATATTACTCAGTTTCCATGACAGACAGTCAGAGATACATCCTTGCACTAGCCATGTTTCTTCCAAACCTTAATATTCCCAATCCTAATGTAATGCACTACCTTCAGCACTCTTAGTTGGAAGATACAAAAAGATACCATACCATTACAAGTATGGCCTTGTGATTCAGGACAAGTAGAAACATGTTTTTTTGTACTGCCAGTTTTACACAGCATCCTGAAATACCCTAATTGCCCATTCCTGATTAGTAAAATGGATACAATGATCACCAGTTCTTATTTAACTCTGAAATAACATATAAGATTGCCAGGTTCTGTAATATGACATACAAAATTAGACTAAGAATACTTAAGAGCAATTGAACTTGTTTATATACGGCAGAGGCGGGAACTATGTCCTTTTCATGAAGATTTAAATTTTAGAACTCTCCAAATACTTTCAAAATATCGGTTAAGCTCTAAATCTTGACTTTTGTGGAAAATTATCTTTAATGCAAACTCGGCATAGTACCTAAAACTATTTCTCCCTGTTTGGGCTCGATGCCTATGTGCTAGTCCTCTTACATCAATGTACCCACTCTCTTCTCCACTGTACCTTGTTGTGAGCGAGGGTTGTTCACTGCACTGGATATGTATAGTGCTGAGCTCCTGCATGCTCCGTAGTCGGGTTGCTGGCACACTGGAATTGGGGAGGTGCGTTGTCTTCTTACTACGTCGAGAACAGCAGGAGGTAGTCAAGCCCTGGTGACTTGAAAGGGAAGGGCTTCGGGTTGATGGGTAATTCTGCATTGAACTCTCCAAGCAGTTTTGCTCGAACATCTGCTCATCAATGAACTCATGGTTCTGTCAGAGAGAGCATCAACAAATATTAGTAATTTCCTAATATAATCCTTTTTTTTTTCAAAAATCAAAAACTGACTATAGTTCAAGAGTTAGACTTTCAAACACTTCTATGTATTTTCCATCAGGACAGCCTTTCCTTTCTTTAAAATGCATCTGGCTGTCATGTTGAAAAATAATTTGCTTAGGGTAATATATTTCAGTTATATCCAATTCCATACTGAACATTTGCTTTGTTGCTGAATATCAGGAGGAAATATCCTGACAGTTGAATGTGGAAGTATTTACATAATTGATTGGTGTGATTCAGTAAATAAATATTTCCTAATATTTAGGAAATAAATAAATTCAAGTATTCTAATCTGATATTGTATATTTCTTTCCATATATTAGAGTATTTTTTAAAGAAAATCCAAGATTCAAACATGTGGATGCTATATGCTGATGCCATTTTTCTGAACTTTTATAAATCAACTCCAATATAATTGATATAGTTGAACTGTGGTGTTCTTGGCACTCTCTAAGTTTGATTGCTTGCAGACCTTTCATTACCTGACCAGGTGCTAGTGAATGTGGGGTTTGCTCCCTCTTTATAGAAATAGCACTTAGACTTATATACCACTTCACAGTGCTTTACCACCCTCTCTAAGCAGTTTACAGAGTCAACAATCTGGGTCCTCATTTTACCAACCTCGGAAGGATGGAAGGCTGACTCAACTGAGCCAGTGAGAATCGAACTGCCAAATTGCAGCAGCCAGCAGTCAGCAGAAGTAGCCTGCAGTACTGCATTCTAACCACTGCACCACCACGGCTCATATATACAGTTCCTTATCCTGCCAGTACTGATCAGGGTGGTTGTTTTTTTCCCATGGTAGTTCTTGATTAGAGTATTGTTTTTGCTAGACTAGTTCTTGTCTTTTTGTTTCCTTCTTAGCGTTGTACTGTCTTTTTTGAACAGTGTGTAAATTTGGTTTATCTCTCTGTGTTTATTAATGGCTGATTTGTCTAAATGCGAAGCTTCCAGAAATTCTGTAGTGTTTTTGGATATAACTTGGTCCAGGATGCTCACAGTTTACTAGTTGAAACTATGTTGAATCTGTCCATGTGTTCTACAATTAAGGAGTTTTTATTCTGTTTTCTGAGTGCTAATTGGTATTCATAGCTCTTCTGCCTGTCTTATATAGTATTTATAATAGTCCTTATAGTGTGCATTGAATCCTGTTTTTTCTTCTTGGGCTACGGGGTCTTGGTTGACTTAAAATGTTTTGGAGGGCTCTGATTGGTTTGGGTGCTATAGTGATGCCATGTGGTTATAAATCTGCTGGCTGTTTCTGAAATGTTTTTGATGTATGGTAATGTTATTCTTTTCATAATGTGCTGGTTGTTGTGTTGCAGTAGGTTGAGTGGTCATGCACTTTTTGATAAAGTTGTATGGGAAACTGAACAGTCAGTTTCTTTTTTCTGGTATCCTGGGTTGCTGCAATGTGTTTATACTTGTCTAAATAATGCTGTTACACAACTGCAACTGTGGGAGGTTGAATTATTACTTTGGTAATGGAACATTAAGTTAGTGTGGGTTGTTTTTTGACAGATGTAATTCACATAGTTTATTCAATTAAGATTACTGAGTTGACCAGCTTGAATGCCAATATCAGTTCAGGAAGCTAAGATGATTTAATTCAGTTTGACAGTTTTTATTAATTAAAGCATTCAGTTCAATGTGATGTTTGATTGAGTTTTTGATTTTGACTTGAGAAGTAACTTTGATTTTTGATAGCAATCAAATAATCTCATTCAATATTTGAATTTAAACTTCATTGGGCCAATTCAATTTTGTACCCTTATATGTCTTCTGTAGGCCTACACTATTTTTTTTATGACTGCAGCAAGTTGTCTTTCCATGGAAAATAGTGCTCACATATACAGTCCAGAATACTTGTAAGATATAACTACACTATAGAAGATTGTCATTATTTGAAAAAAAAAATAAAGTTCATTATTTAAGCTGTCTTTTAATAGCTAGGTCCTGATAGGTTGGGGTAATTAAAAATACTAATTGTATATTACAATAAAAACAGCTGATTATCAGTCTGTGCTTTGACCATCTTTTGAATGGAACAGCATTATGTATCCCAAGTCTCTGAGAAAAATCTAAGTAGTCTATAAATAGGGGCATACCCAAGAACATGTTCTCCTATAAATACTCATGGAAATAATTTCAGTTCATGTTTTGAGAGTTAACTTCAGAAAGTATTCTTCAAGGGAATTCTTGTTCACTAGGTTTGAAATGAAAAGCATTTAACTTTGGTGGGTGACCTATTAAAATGAGGGTAGCCTTTTAGCTATATATAATTGCTGCCTATTTGAACATTCAGAAACAGACCATTGGATAAATGTGAATAAAACTTTGGAATGAAATTTTACATATTAACAAGTGGTTGCTAGTAGCACAGAACACATAAATAATTGTTTGTTTTTGACATTATTTGTTTACAATAATGCCAAAGTAATAAACCAGCTGTCAGTTTTCATTTACAATAATTCAGATGTCTTCAACTTTGAGGGCTAATCTAAAATGTTGTCAACTTCTTATGGGTGCTTTGATTCTCTGATGACCTGTCAATTTATAGCTATCATGATAGGGCAGGTATTTTGAAAGGTATCAAGATAATGATATATTAGGGTAATGGGGGCATGTCATGTAGTTGACCCAGTGCTAATGCCTTTGTAGTAGTTAGACACTTGTTGGTCGGTTGGTCTAGAAGACTAATGAATACCTCTTTATATTAACCTCAATCCTCTCCCCTAAAGTTATAAATGAAGGAAATAACAGAATTCAAGGATCAGCTAGTACAACCACATTTTCCAAGTAGTGAAAATAACTGCTGCAATTTGTAGCTTGCTTGACCCCCTCTCCAAGTCTATCCCCTCTGAACACATCACATGATATTACCTCTTAAAGCAGGGCTGTCAAACTGCCGGCCCACGAACCGGATGCGTCATGCTAAAACCGCAGCCATCCCAGCTTCGGCAATGGGGAAAATGTTGTGATATGTGGTGACACGTCATGTGATGTTGCAAGTTTGACACCCCTGTCTTAAAGGGTTAGAAACCTTTCTATGGGAAATTTGAAACTCTTTTTTTCATCCTAAGCAATATATTTGTATATATCAGTGGTTCTCAACCTTTCTAATGCTGCGACCCCATAATACAGTTCCCCATGTTTTGGTGACCCCCAACCATTTATACATCACCGGGTGCCAAGGGCGAGGCCAAAGAAAAGGGGAAAAAATGGTGGACAGCCTTGTTTGGCGACCCCCGTGAAATGGTCGTTCGACCCCAAATGGGGTCCCGACCCACAGGTTGAGAACCACTGGTATATATGGATGTTTTTAAAATACATTTTTCCTTTGCTCCTTCCTTTTTTTTTGGGAGTGGGAGAATCCAAAATATGGTCATATGACAATGGGGAGGGGAGAAATTTTGTACCCAGGTCATAAATAGCTTTTGGGGGGCTTGTTATAACTAAATGATTGGTTATAAGTTGAGGACTACTTGTATCTTCTGTATGGAGGGATGGATAAACTATAGAAATATACAGGATACATGCATTTTTAGCTGGGATATACCTCTCTATTTTGCCTTTACATGAGATGTATGTAAAGAAACACAAGTCAGACATAAGGAATCTATGGCTGCTTCTTTTTTTATGCAGTTACTTCGCATTTGAATTGCTGCAATACAATATGTTCTAGCAAAGGATTATATAATTCCATCACCAGTTATTGTAATGTAAGTATTTGGATGTAATAGCAGTGTGGTATCCCTGCTTCAGAACTATGAATCAGAGACAGGTGCTAAACAATGCATAGTTGTGATTAACATGGCAAATGAGTGGAAATAAGGTAATATTTTACCTTTTCTTAGATAATATATCTTAGGAGAAAGATAATATTTTGCAATGGAGCAATCACTTATAATGGTTAATGAAGTCATTTTAGTTGAATAGCGTAGAACTATGCACAGAAAAATATTTTCTGCTGGGATGCAATGAGTGGAAAAGCTTTAATATAGCATTCTGGACACCATCCTCATCTCCATCGTTATCGTCATCATCATCATCATCATCATCATCATCATCATCATCGACTTAATAGTTGAACAAAAATGTTAAAATCCAGTTTAAACTTCTGGCTGATCATTATAATAAAAAATCTAGGCTGCCCAACCTTCAATGACTCTGGACAGCTACCAACAATCAAATAAATTGTGTAGCTGTCTTTTACATGCTGTAAGTTTCTTGCCTTTGACTTCATCCTAAAATGAAATGTCCTCATACACTGAGCTCTACTGACTTACCATAAATTTTACAACAGGCCACAACAATTCTCAACTATGTTTTATATAAATCCAGAACATGAAAGTAGAAATATTGGAATAGAATTGTTATAGTTTGCAATCTAAAAAAAATAATGATAGGCAGATCAGGAATGCATAATATAGGTATTCAGCAAATACGTGAAAAATGAATGGGATCTTTACTTATGATAAGAGTTAAAAGGAAAAACAAACATCTTAGCATATTCAAAGCTGCCACATCCACATCAAATAATTAAACAGCATATTTGAAAGCATATTTGAGCTTTTAAAAATAGATAAAGCAATTGCTGTCCCTCATTCAATAGTCTTAACAGTGCTCAAAGCCACCAGATAATAAAAAAGCTCCAACATGCATCATCTACTAAAAAACAGGATTATCACAAGCAAGGAAGCAACACTTGAGACATGACACAGAGGTGGCAGTAAACAGATTGAATTAAGAAAGAAATACCTTGAAGGTGGAAGTTCGTACAGATAACAGGGGATCATCCACAAGATAGGACAATCCCTACAGGACAACATGTCAACAAAAGATAAAAACACCATTGATTGTCTATTCCAGCATTCCAAAATCCAATCCCAGCATTCTGCCTAGCATCTCACACGTTTGAATGGGCAATGAGGCCTTTCCTCCAGCTTATTTTAGATTGAACTATCATCTCACTGGTAACAGAAGTCTCCCAAGTAGCCACGAAAAAAAGTAAATTACTGTATAACTCACTAATAGAGGTTCTCTCAAATGGAAATGCCTAAGCAACATGAACCAGAGAGCTGACTGATAAAAACTGAGGTTGCTTCCAGTCCTAGATTGCACAGTGCACTTGCTCTGCCTTATTCAAGGAAAATTTCAGTGCAAGTAATGTTATGATTTAATTATAATTAACCCATGCATTCCCATTTATAATTAGAGGCTTTTAACAGCAAAATATTAGGCAAGGAGAAGATTGGGAAGAGAAGAATTGTGTGGAAATTATTCTTCAAGATATTGTAGTGTTATATTCCCAGGCAATAAGCACAAACAAACTTTTGACAAAACCTACTTTTATTTACTATTATAGTATAACCCTTGTTCCTTATCTGAGCATTAGTTGTGAATTATTACATAATGCTTTTATTAAATCTGTTTCTGAAGCGCAGCTGAAGACATAAAATTTGTAATGTGATTTCCAAACCTTTATATGGTAAAATTAAAGGTTCAGATTAACTTTCTCCTCCCTTGACTTTTTTCTCCTGTAACAAGAAAAAGTTTTGGTTACTTTTCTAACCAATTTTCTTCTCTCTTTTATTTGGAGTAGAAAGGCTTTAAGTTGGATTATGATTTTTTTTCCAAACTTTTTTTAACAAGTTACTTTCCCCTTCCTCCCCTCCCCCACATTTCTGCCCCTTTGGACTGCATGCTGGTTCAGGCTATACAGAAAATAAAGGGATAATGGAAACTGATAACTTAAGAATTTTATTGCTAATCTTTGACTTGCTTAGTTAATTGTTTCTTTCACAAACTGGAGCTTTCTTTGTTGTGTCAGTCCTCTTTCTAAGTCAGCATTACCAGGATCATTGCCCATCCACCATGATTCTCTCCTTGGATCTCCTCAGTTGCTCTGAAAGTATTATGCTTTTTCTCCAGGGCACCTGCAGGGATGATCTTTCCTCAACTCCGGTTCTCTTTCTGATTTCCAGTTCTTCTCAACTTCTCCAGGAACTAAGCATGTTCCAGAATAGTCTTAAATAATTTTCTTTGAGAAGCAACATCAGCAACAATAATAAATGGCTCTAATGTGATAAATCTTAGTAATAGTAATTCAAACACCCAGAATCAAGATTAAAGAAAGTTCCTCAAACTCTCCTGTATTCTGCCTTAAAATGCCCATTCTTGCCACCTTTGTGATCTTAAGGTCTACATGCAGCATTGGACATTTAACTGGAAGTTATAGATACAAGTAATTCCCTGAATTTTTTCCTGAATAATTCCCAGTAATTCTACCAGAGCAAGTAGAGCCCCAGCTGCTCTTAAAGAGCTGGGCATCTTCTCACAGAGAAGAAAACAACATTATAACAATTCTTTAGCAGCTGTAAATAGAAAACCATGCAATTGGGTCAAGTGTGAAAATTTATCCCTGGGGAAAGATAATTAATACATTAGGGATTCTGCTTCTTCCTCTATTACACGAAGTATATATTCTATTTCCAACTGCAAAGCTATTTTGTGTCCTACTGTAAAGTCTTTTTAGTCCTGAAGCAATTCCAATATTACAAACTCTTCCAGAATAAATCTAAAATAAATAATAAATAATCTTTCTGAATAAAGTGGTAAGTCTGCAATCCTGTTTTTGGAGAGCAGAACAAAGAATTAAGACCGCATAAAGTCTTTGAATGGGGTACATAACAGAGCAATAACTTGACTAATACATCCTTCTCCCCTCTCAGCTACTGTGTGTGTGTAGATGCATAGAGAATACTTCCATAAAGGGAAATGGCTGTATGCATGTACATATAATGCAGGCAAATGGAGCAAATCTTAGAAGCTTTCTGGAGAACAAGGTTGCTTTCAAGTTTCAGGAGAGGGTGTTTTATAAAGTGCTCCTTTGAATAGTTCACCCTGTCCTATTCACTAGTGTCTCTTAGCTGAAACTAACTATGGCTTTGATAAGAGAAAGAGCATCACCATTATGATGTTTTGTTCTGACTCTATTCACTCTATAGCAAAGGTCCCCACCCAGAGACCGGTTCCATGGACAAAGGTTTTTCCACAGACCAGAGAATGCATGGTTTTATGTGCTGCCTGGACAATTCTGATGGTTGAAGTCCACACATTTTAAAATTGCCAAGATTAAGAAACGCTGCTGTAGATTAACAGTAGGAATGTGTGTGGAAAAGGGATTCAGAGATGGGAAAGCTGGGAAAAGATCAATTATAAAATAAAAGTTCTAGTGTGATTACTGAATGGAACAATTGAAATTGTGATTTTGGTCCATATTGCTTTTCCACTGAGAGAATACAAGCTACATATTCATATAGAAAAAGGTTGAACATTTTAGTACATTATTTATTTGCTTATTTTTAAATTGATAGCAAATCCTTCACAACATTGTTTTACTTAATTAGCTGAATTTAGAGATGATTCATCACATCTCAGATGTTTTAACACAAAACTTCAACAAAATAGACAATACCAAAAGCATCCTTTCTATTTAAGGAAAGGTGAATTGCCCCTTGAAACCTGTTAGCAATGCTTATGTACAGGTCATTCTTCATTCCACTAGCAATTGTGGGACACTGAAATATAACTCTTTGGTGGCTCTAGAATTCATAATCTGCAATGAGACAATGTGTTAAGTGTGATTTTTTTTTAATCAGTTCAGTATGATGGAAAGGCATGCATGTTCAGCACAAATGCTGAATGAACTATTTTGATGAAAACACTGAAAAACACACTGAACATGCCATATGTTAGTCCTTGAATGACAACTTCTCTGTTCAGAATGATATATGGTTAGGTCAAGAGCAACACACCGTTTCCAATAACTTAACAGCTATTTATTACTGATTGAGATTGCAGTCAAGCTCACCTGAATCTAACCCCATGCTGATGTAGCACTGCAGGTATTTTCATTACTATTTCTGATAGATACAGATTTCAGCTGAATGGTGAATAATTTATTCTTATTCATTCAGATTGTATATTCTTTGGTCATTAATTATTTCTTTAAACAGCCAGTCTCCAAAGCTTTAGAAATATATTTGCCTATTCCTCGTTTAATTATGTTGAAAATAATTCAACAACTAATTATTTGAACCATTGTTATTCATTGAATAGATTATTCTGACAACATAGCTTGTTTCCGAAGAACACATAATACATATTGAAGGGAGTGAGAATGCTATTGCGCCCCACAATCCATCCAAACACAGTATTCATAAAGTTTAGTTACTCTTCCCCTGTTTATTCTGTAATACTGGAATGGGATTACATTATGTGTGTATGTGTGTATCCATTTTTCAACCATAGCCTTTTGGATAGCATGTATGAAGATATACCATTTAATGTTCACAAAGCAGTATGATTTAACTCGGGTCTTCAAAATTGGCCCTTTTATGACTTGTGGACTTCAACTCCCAGAATTCCTCAGCCAGCATGCCTGGCTGAGGAATTCTGAGAGCTGAAGTCCACAAGTCATAAAAGGGCCAAGTTTGAAGACCCCTGAGTTAAATCATAATTATCTAGTCATATTTATGGCTAAGCAAAACTTTGAACTCAGGTATTATTGTGGCTCCCCTTTTATTTATGTTATAAATAATGTAAGTTAAAACATAAATATGCATTTCATATATTTTGGAAAACCCCAAATTAATAAGCTATTATAATATTTTAAGGAAAGAAATTTATAAACAATTCATGTAATGAACAATCTATTTTCTCACATACTTTTCTAAATCCTGCAAGACAACACATCATCATCATCATCATCATCACCATGGATTATGATATACTAATAACCTTGAAAAATAATTTGTAGGTTTTGTTTGGAATATTTTAGGGACAGGATAAACCATGTCCATACCTCTGTGTTCAAAGGAAAATAATTACATTCTTATCTTTGCCAGAGTGGAGTCCTTTGTTATAGTTCAATCAGAATCAGGATGCAGATTTTATTAACTGCTATTTAACACAAATTTGTAGGTTTGAAAATGCAAAAATACTTTTGTGTGTAACATAAATTTAAGGACAGGCTCCCTTACTATGGACGTATCTTTTGTAAATTATAAAATAATTACATGGTGCATTAAATTAAATATATATTTAATTTTAGGGACACACTCTTTCTTTTGTTACTTTCAAATTTTCTAGAAGAAGAATACAATAGATAACTATACTTGCTAGCTGTACATATTCACCTAACTCAAGTGAACACATGTCTTCTGAATTTTTCTGTTAGCTTTCATTGTGGAGACAGTATTCAAGACATGTCTGCAACATTTATTGCATATAGTAGAACATGCTTATGTAATACATTATTCTTCAGAATTCTCTTGCTCTGTGCTCTAGATGTGAAAGTTTTCTATTTGTTTCTGCAAGAATGACAACAATTTCTCCAAGGCTTTCTATTCTGTTTCCATAAGTGGCCTTCAGTAGGACTTTCCTCATGTATAATTCATATATTTAGGAAGATCTATTGCTTTGTATAAAAAGCAATGCAGGCAGGTAATATTATAATTTGATATAGAAGGTAAAGCAATAAATAAAATATACAATAAAGATATGGATATTAATGTAACAGTAATCATTAGGAGGCAATTGCATAGAGCAAGTAAGGGCCTTCAATATGCACTTAGGGGCATATTCCATGTACACATATATACTGACTCATTTGGCCAAATGATCAAAGTCCAGGTAAGCAAGAGAGTAATGTGTTTTGGTATAGAGCAGATTGCTTTCATATGTACATCAATCATTGATCCATAGAGATGGTCTTCCAGATGTTCTTTACAGTACTTCCAAATCTTAGCAGCCCTACCCAGCATAATCAATGGTGAAAAATGAGGAAACATGTAATACAACATGTAAAGGGCCATCCATTATTCACCCTTATTCTAAATACTGTAGTATGACTATTGAGTAGCCAATGAGTAGCCAGTTCGGGTTTCATACTTCTATTTCAGACCTTATGCACATATTTCCTTTTCTGATTCTTTTTTTTCTTAGTTGTAGTTAACAAGTATATTTGATAACAATTTTGCATATTTGCAATATATCATAATGTAATAACAACCACAACAGGGAGGGAGGAGAATATGGAACTCCAATAAAAATTAGGCTTATCAAGGCTCAATATTGACTCAATACTGGCAGGCTAAATTTAATATATACCCCCTTTTTCTGTTTTTTTTTTTTTTTTAACTCTATGGGCTTGAGTGAAAACAGACTCAAAAGCACTCCCTGTTCCTACTTACAGTTGTTTTTTCCAGGCAATGCAGCAGGTGGTGATGCTGACTTTCAATGATGGATGTGGCTTTGCTGATATTGTGCTCATCTTCCATAGACCCCTAAGCAGACAGAAAAGGCATCCATGAGACCATTGGTACAGAGAAAATAGCAATTTTGTGCAGCATCTGAAAGTGCAATGTGGAAAAAATGAGCAAGAAAAAGACAAATAAGTGCTCTTGAGCTTCAATACCCTTGCCTAATAAGAAAGAGCCCAAGTTCTATTGCATAGGTTATTCCAATATATGTAGTTAAATTTTAAAAAAAGAAAGGAAGAGAACTGAACTCCTACCTCATAAACTAAAGGTGAAGACAGAGACAGAAAGAAAGATAGATTGGCAGGTAAAGCTACACAATAAAACTTAGTTGCTGCCTTCCCTAATTCCCAGCTGGACAAACATTGGAAGGTTATGTGAGTTGTAATCCAGACCAGAAGAAAAACAGATTGGGAATATCTTATTCTATGGTAAAGGGCTTCAATAGTTGTTCAGACTGCTTTTGCTACAAAACAGCCAATAAGATTTTACTCCTGGATAATAGAATGAACAGAAACATATCAGACAATATAACAATTGACTAAATCTATAATTTAGAAGGTTTTTTTTAAAAAAATTCTGTCTCTCTAGAAAACTGCACTAAAAAGATCCAAAGTCACAAAGGAGACTTTTTAGGCTTGCATTCCTAAATGTGCCACCAAAGCAACAACTTCTATAATTCTAGGTTAGCTCTGCTTCTGCTTTCTTTGACACACCAATAATAACATCTGCAGCTGAAATACAAAGTACAATTTAATTCAGGTTGCATGGTTCTTGATAGGAAAGAATAGACATTGGGAAGAGGTTAGTACACATCAATGTAGCAAATACGTTTTAAAAAACTCCAAAGAAATGCTGGTATTTACAGCACAGACAAGAGAAGATGGAAACCAAACCTCCCCCTTTTTGCCACAGCTGCACCACAGTTTCATTTTCAGCATGAAACATCCGAGCTACTCATAAACTGGTGACTGAAGATGTGATGGATTTCTAAATCCTGCACACATGACAAGAAGCTTCATTTATCTGGAAGTACTTAAATTTCAGTCCTCAGGGATGAAGAGCTGCTATCAAGTGATATCAATAATCAGTATTATGCAGATCTGATAGTTACTCAGAAAAAAAAATATCACACCTCTGTGCAAGTGATTCATATTCAGCATTTTCTGAAGGGAAACAGAGGACCTTTCTAAATAATCATTTTAGAAACAAATGTTTATTACTTCATAACTGCAGGGAATCAAAATGAATCTCTTCCTTCCCATCTTCCTCTTGCTTGTCCTTGGAAAGCAAGTTATATTTTCCCAGCATTCAAAATAAAACCTTGGCACTGGCATTCAATTACAGGCAGTCCTTGACATGACCACAATTTGAACTGGAATATCTATCATTAGGCAAAGCAGTTGTTAAGCAAGACATCATGTGATGATTTTGCTCAACAAGAGCAATCTTGGCATTCCTAGTTGTAGTCACTAAGCAATCTTGCCAGTCAAGAGTCCTAGATAAAGGGTGTGGGGTCCCTTGGGTAGGGGACACCCTGGGAGGCCAGGTGGCCTGCTACGTGTTACTGTCTTTCTGCTCAGGGCCTGAAAATTCTCCTTGCCAAAATCCAAGCAGGAGTTTCAGCTCTTCAGCAGAAAGAAATTCATATGCGCCCTGTACTGGGCCTCCCTACATCCCTGAGATACCTGTGTTCCTTACTGCCTCTCCACTCAGGAGCTGAAAATACTCCATTGCAAAATGCAAGCAGATTTTTCAATTTCCTGCTAAACGAATTCAGTTTGTGCAAGCAGGGTGAGGCTGAAATCCTTTGGCAGTGTAATGGAATGTGGAAAATACCTTCGGGGAAAGAGAGGGAGAGATGCTGCCTTGGAAACAATCAGACAACAGAGGCACAACCCTCCTCCCCCAGTGGCTTAATGGTCAGAGAAAGAAAGTGAGAAAGGGCCTGTCTTGATGGATCAACTGGTTAAGAGGGGCTGCAGGAAGTTTTGTACTTTCACACTTGCGTGAGTCTGTTAATGTAGCCTTATGATAAAGTAGATTTTGCTCATATAGAGATGTATCCTGTCTGGTTCACCTGGGAGACCTGATAGGATTTCAGCCCTGTGCAAGCAGGCACAAAGGATTTCAGCTCCATGCAAGCTGGTACAGTTTGAAATTCTACAGCAGGCAGCTCCTTGAAAAAGAATTTCAGTTTTGGGTCTGCTTGCTTGGCAGGGAGCTCTTTCAGTCAGCCCCCAGAGATGAAAAGAGTGCAGCAGCTTGCAACCTTCCCTGTTGACTTCTCCACAGACTTTTTAGGGGAGCTGGCAGAGAAGATTGTGAATGGCAATCACATGAATGTGGGGGGTGGGGGCTTGTTGTGATCAGCAGGGGGCTAGGTGTAACCAAGTTGCCAAGCATACAGATCACATCACGTGACCATGTGCATGTGCAACATTTTGCGACAAATGGAAATCCTTTACAGGCATTTCCAAGGCCATCATTAATTTGATCCACCATTAAGCAAACAATATAGTTTTGTGTTTACAATATTATGCCCAGCATAATATTGTAAAGCAGCAAGTCTAATTTTTTACAGCTATTACCTTGCACAAGTCCTTGATAGGGTTGCAGCTTATGTTTTTTGTCCCATACCTACCATCTGTACTTTTGCATGCACAGATGGACGCTGTCTTGTTAAATTAAAGACAATAATTAAGCACCTCCCATTACAGATTGCTTGATGATAATTCACCCTGATTACTATTATTTACCTATTGTGATTCAAGAAACACATGTCATCTCAAAGGAAATAGAATTTTGTTCCAAGCAAGGCTATATTCACAACTCTATAGCTCTATAGCTTTATCTAAGTCCTTTCTCAGTTACTTCACTAGTACACTATTACTTAAGACTAGAGTGAAACCTGGAGATATGAGAAGCTTCTTATACTGAATCATACCTCAATTAGAGTTGATGTATCTGGATCTGAATCTGGAATTTTTGCATGCAAAACACATGTTACCTCATCTGAACTATAGCCCTGTTCTGAAAACAACTGCAGTCTGAATTATTTAGATCAGAGATCTCCAACCTTTTGGGCACCAGGGACTGGTTACATGACAAGAGGTTTTTCCGTGGACTGGAGGGGATGTGGTTTTGTGTTCTGCCTGCATCCCATGGATGGGGCTTTGCTTGTTTGTGCAGCCCGGTTGCTGGCATGCCACAGCCCAGTACCAGTCCAGGGACCGAGGGTTGGGGACCCCTGATTTAGATTATATTAGTGACTCTGCTGGCCATTTTGTTTTCTTTTTGTGCCTCCTTGGAAGAGTCCTTGAAGAGTATATTTTGAAGCAATCCCAAAGCATCAAGGAATCAAACTCTGGAATAAATCTACCTTATTTTAAGAATTTTCTGAAAACAGTTTGTAACTTGGCAAAATGATAACATTGCATTGCTTCCTTTTCTTATATTTATTTTGACATAATCAGAAATTGCAAATGAAATTTGCTAGACATTTTCATCAACTCAATTAAGTACAATAAATTGTAAAATTCTATCTACTGTGACTGACCTATTTTTTGGAATATTGCTGTAATGCTGGTCTAATGAGGACATCACCTATTTAAAGGATACTCATTAAATTAACTTCTGTGGCTGAAACTCTTTGATATGCAATAGAAACCCAGATTTTGTGAATGGGCAGTGCACACCACTAATTTTGTGATTCAAGGACATAATTTGCTTAGAACCAGATATATTGGTGACACTGAAAACATTATTTTTAGTGTCCCCTTTTTTGTTGCTATGCTTTAGAAATGATATGGCTAAGTATGTGTATGTATTTAATTAAAATTTCCTGACCTTGAACTTCACCTCAATTTCACAGCATGTCTTCTTTAATCATTGTTATCTATTTTATTTTTTGTTCAATAGTTGGGACTTTCAAAAATCATTAAATATGTTAAATCAGTAATTATGTGCTCAAAACAGCTCCTTTAACTTAGATTGATGTTTGACAAGGACATATTTTAAAGAATCATTAAAATACATTTACTGTATGATAATGAATATTATCATTACTTTATTATGGCATCACTATAGATTGCTGCTATTGACTCCAGATTTTATGTTTCAAAATTCTAACAGAGAAAGGTTTAGAGGATGAGTGGGGACATGGTGATATGACAATTGTGGATACAGATCTGTTTTCTTCAGAAGTTATGCTGCTACATCATGTATTGCGATTTTATCACAAGGAGCACATCTTAAAAAGCAACTATAGGACAGCAGAAAGAGAATAAAGTTATTCTTATTGTATCCTGTTTGTAAGCTTCTAGTTGGCTACAATATGACATTAAAGACCAGACAATGGCTCTTTAACAGAAGTGTTATCTAAATAACGCAACAACTAGAACTATCTGAGCTCCTTAGACTTTTCCAGTTAGGCTAGCCCATTGAACCCTTATCCTCTAGCTTCATTCTCAAAGCACAGCAGTGCACACACAAACACACAGACACCTCAAAGAGTGAAATAGTTGTAAAGGAAGCAGTTGGGATGGGTACAGACACCATGAGTGCAAAGGTGAGCAACTAGGTTGCCTACTGGAGTTCATTAGTTGTTTCCTGAATCTGATCCTACTAGGTTTCAATCTGTTCTTCAGCTGAAAAAGATTGAGGACAAAAAGTCTAGATAAAGCCATTGCCTTTTGATCTGATTTGGCAGAGCTCTTTTTGTATTGCTTCCATGAAAAGCTACTCTTATGTTATTTTGCATAATGTGTAAAGAAGGATGCCTTAATAAGCCAAAGTTAAAAGAGAAGATTTGTTCCTGGCTTTTTTTTCTGGGTTGTTGTGATGGGAAAAAGCCAGAGGTCCTGCTTTAAATATCACATTATACAAATCACAGAAGTTTCCATGGTTTATTTTGGCTCTCTTGCTATACTTGCTCATTTTGAAGAATTCTGGCTTAGTGAGATATCAGAATATCTCACTTTTTCTGCATGTTTTCAAATAAGTTGTCATATACAGTACTGGTGGAT